CCTATATTTTGTAGTAGATATTTTCGACTTTAATACTTACATGCATGTAGCAATTAAAAGAATGATGAAACTATGATGATAGAGCAGCATATCTTCTGGTCCTATCAAATCAAATGGATGGTAAAGGATAGGGCAGAGTAGGATAAGACACAACACAAAGTATTTCAATCAATTTATCGCGCACAACTCAACGACACTCATGCAAGGTACGATGACAATGATATGTCATTAAAACAGGTGAGGAAGAGATTGGAATGTGACCCATTCCAATCGTATTTCTTCATCAAATGAGGCTTAATCTGTAATATACGGAAGTCGTAATCAATGATAAGGGAAAATAGCTTATTGGAATTTCGATAGAGAAGAGTCAATCAAATGAAAAGCAATATCATATTGAATTTTTCAACCTAAGAATTCCCGATGATCCATCCCACAGCCGAGAGCTCTCTAAAATTTCCATTGTAACAATGAAACTAAGATGTGACATAACGCTTAAAACTGTACATATACAAAACGTAATACATCAACAGAGAGGATGCTATTCGAGGGACCATCCATTCCCTATAAATTCGAACGTTCCCTCTCCCTAACGATGATAGCGCCAAGGCGACGCATACTTTGGGCAGAGCTACAGTTGCCAATTCCCTCCATGAAATGTTTTCTCTTTCTCTTTCTCTTCTTTCTCCTCAACCATTACATCGCACTTTTCATCCCTAACATTCTCCAAACATCAACACAAGGAAATGTAGAACGCAATGGTGAAAATAGTCCGGCAACACACAAACACTATAGCACATATATGTATATATATACACTCCCACATACACACCTACACGTACGCTCATATACACACACCTACACAATACGTTGCACATAGATAGTAAAGCGTTTAGCTGTTGCAATTGGTAATGAGGCGGAACGTACGGAGGTGCACCGTGACGTAATTTGCGTACACATATGTTTGCACGTGTGCAACTGTCCTACTAATCATCGCTTGAAGATTGATGATCAATAACTGACGTGTAACGAAGGCCAAGAAAGGATTCACGCAGATTACGACAATGCAACAGGTCAACAAATGACCCGATGAGAAATTCCCGATAAAGGAATGCATAATTCTACCGAATAATTCTAGAAATGTTGACATTCTCAAAGTAATCAGCTAATTAACTCTTTTTGGATTACTCTTGAATATTATCGGAAAGACGCCTGAGCAAATTCAGATTCTATTTGGATGTAAACGAACACTTCGCGCATTCCAATCATTGGTGCTATCGTTTTGCTATTGGTGGAACTGAATTGAATCTATCAATTTTTATAGCAATTTGGGTTATATTTAAAACAAATAGCTCCCAATCTATCATATAGGTATGTAAAAATGTTGAGAATTGAAAGGCACAAATTAACAAATTTCGCATCATAAACAATCGACTCCTGACCTTTGTGAGATTTAATCGCAATTGTTGCATTCTCATTGCAGCGTAAAATGCTCGGATCACCTCACTTATTTTATGGTTTGATAGTTTCACTTTAAATATTGAACAGCAGTAGAAAAGATGAAACGTTGCAAAAATGTAGACGAAATATATTTAAATTAGTATTAGAACATAAATCCTCCTCATTGGTATGTTGAATAATGTAAGTAAACGAATCGAGGTCAATGGGTTCTCCTCGAAAAAGCGACATTTTCTTCTTGTACAGAATAATTGAGAAAGTTGATGAGTTTTGAGAGATTGAAAGAGGGAGCATCGCGGGGAAAGAAAGTGTCATCTCCGCCTAACCTTTACCCTTTCCTTCTATTTCCTTCATTCCTCTTTCCTTCTTCTCCTTATTCTTCCCATTCTTTTTTCATTCTCCAAACTCTTTATTTTAATGTGATAATTTTTTTACAATGAGTGAAGAAGGGGAGAAAATTACCACTAATGCTAGACAACAATATCTATAATTATATTAATATTATAGACTCAAATCCTTATCAATTCATTAAATGATTACTATCATTTTAAATTAAGAAGTATTCTCTGCACCAAACTTTTCGAAATTTTAAATAAAAATTTAATTCCTATTTAATTGATAGAATAGAGAAGATATCTTTAGATGAACTGTACTTTGTTAGCGTCAGCTCTATTGCATAATTTTCTATTTTAATTGCAATGAACTTTTGCTGTAAACAACGAGGCAATGGACTTACCGCAATAATTTTTGACGAAATTGACCGTGAAGGATGAATCATTGCTAATTTAACGTCATTCGAAAAAAATTCTCCTCCAAAAAAATAAAATAATAGAAGTATAAAATAGCACAAAGTTAAAAATTATAACTTACCAAACCAATACTTCTTCTATAAAATCAATTTTAATCATTTGATGAAATGATATATGAAATAGTGACAAGTGAGGCTGTCGTCTGACGATGATAATTTCTTGTCGGAATTTGTTTATTGTGTCCAAACCATTGTACATAACTTTTGATGACCGAAAAAGAAGAATTTGAAAGGCGAATTGAAAGTCGTTTAGTGAAACATTTTCAAAAGCTTTAAAATGCATAAAAATTCATGAATCATAAACAATTTCATTCATCTTTTCTTCTTTCCTACGAACACAATATCACTGCTATATCAACAATGTAAGATGGAAGGAAGCGGGTGGTGTTGGGACATGCGAAGAGGAATAAGCATAGGGAATGTTTTGCTTCCTATCAGAGTAAAGGTTGTTATTCGGGGGAACCAGTGCTTATCTAACTTTCACTTTCGTTGTTTTAGTTTTAATTTTACAAACTGATGAAAATGTCCACTGATCGTTATAGTTTTCGTTTCAGCAAAATCTTTATAAAACTTTCAAAATGATGAATATATTGTAAATAATTTTCAGAATTTAAAAAATGAAACCATTTGATGAAATGTACGAAAATTTCTTTCTATTTTAGTTTATAAATTTTGGAAATGTACAAATTCTGCAAATGCAGTTCAATAAAACATAAAACTGAAAAATAGTCGAAGAACAAAAATGTTCATCAGCGTCCACCAATGTATATTAATTACTTCAACATATATATCCACAAGATCGCACAAAATGCGCCATTCCACTGGGAAAAAAGATTCATTGAAAATAATATTTAAGCATAAAAAAAGTTATACCAACCAATAGCATTTTAATGGAACAATCAGCTCTAATTATATAGAAATGGCGCAATTGACGGAGACTTCCGATCTTCCGATCGTTAAAAGTAAAGAGTAATCGTAGAAGTAAAGGCATTCAGCAGTGAAACACATAAGTTATTATCCTTCATTCCAGATAAGTTTTTATGGTTCCTCACTTTCCCTCCTAATGTTTTTTGGTTCTCATTATCCGGAATTGTTTGAGAAAAGTAGTAATAAAATGAGATGTAACTTCTTACTACATCTCCATTTTATCGAGAAGAATATAACTTTCTAAAATTTTGCAGAAAAATGCCGAAAAATCATCCATTTCTTTGCTTCAATATTTAAAGTTTTATAGAACCGTGTTCCGGATTTTTTTAAAATACATTTGCATTACTTTCGAACCATTCGTGCGCCGTTTTCTGAGTAATTAAAATGTATGTAATGTTAACGTATACTAAACATAGACACATCGGAAACCCACGAAGCTGTTAATAAATATCACCAAATTCACTTTAACTCAAGTTTTTAATGACATTAGGTATAAAAGAGGAATAGAGAAATAAGAAATGAAATTAGCTTAAGAGAAAATAAACGCATTCGTAGTGGAGACAACCATTACTGACACTTTTCTATCACCACAGAATGCTTTCTATCCTTATACTCAGCGTAAAATGCCCTATATTTTAGGTCAACTTTAAAACTGCCAGATAAACTTATAAAAATTGAATGCGATCCTAACAGGAACGATAAGCATTTAATGTAACGTTTTCCCAATATAAGAAGGGAAGTTCTCGAAACTAGTTATTCCGGCTCAAGCTGATAATGTGAAAAATGTTAATTATTTGGAGCGAAAAAAAACGCTGCAAATTACTGCTTGATTAGAAATCGCCAATTTGATTACAGATCGGCAATTTTTTTGCATCTACTTTCCGCTTGCTTATCCTTTGACAACATATCGTATGCTTTACTCAATATGATAATTAATTTTTTTTTTAAATACCTGAATTAGTATTAATTTTAAATACCTGAACTCACAGAAAAACTTCTACATCCACTGAACTTAATTTGGCAGAATTTATTCGATATCACAAGAGAATAATAAAAAGATTATGAAATATGCAATAAAAACATAGCACCGATATATGTAACCAGAATTTATTCCCAAAGTAAATTATCAAAACATATTCTTTTCTTTTTTCAACTCTCCTAAAGGTCGCATGAATTATTATTTGTGTGTAAGTATTCTAACAATCATAAAATTAACGAAGGTTAATTAGCAAACAATATGAAAATTTCGACTTTTTTCCTACTCATACAGCAATAATATTTTTATAACACAGATTAGGGATGGAAAAAATTATCAAAAAAGATTTTATAAATTTTCAAATTATTTATAAAGGCACAAGAAATATAAAAACTGTATAGTGCACCATTGTAAGCTGCTAAAGTATAACGAAACAAAGTAAAAGTTAACAAAATAAAAATAATCAAAGTAATGATTGATGGCGGTGATTTATAATAAGAAGAAAAAACAGTTATTGAAAGATTCGTAAATTTGAGAAAAGTTCTCAACAAAGTACCTAAAAGAATTTAAATAAATGTAATAAGAATATGAATGATGAAGGTAAACAAAAAATTCTGTTATAAATTGGTTACTGAGGAATTTAATTAAGATTCCTTCTTAAAATTCACTTCATCAGCACTGTCTACATCACTGTATTATTTATAATGATAGAAAATTTACTAAGATAATTCATCCTAAAATATCAAAAATTATAAATAACGAGGGAAGTATGTATAATTCTTACTTTGTTTGAGAAGTGAAATGTCTGATTTTAAATCTTAGCTGTAATTCAATTTACACAAATTGTGGACTACTAGCAAATTGTTCATTCTCTTCTCCAAGCTTACTGTAACCGGCAACAAGCGGTAAATGCTTCAATTTCATACGATTACGATAAATGCGACAAAAAATCATAGCTGCAAAGAGTAGCAAAACAAATAAAATCCAATATATAAATCGATGATTATTTTTACATGTAAAATCTGAAATTTGGAAGATGTTTTGACCTTTACGTGATTCTGGTGCAGCACAAATCGCATAACCCTGCAAATCAAATTATTTAATCAATATTTGGTCAGAAACAAGACAGGTAGTAGTGCTAGCTATAGATGCAATGCATAAATGAGCTAAGTGAGCCAAGTAAATGATTCAGCGAACTATCAACATTATCAAGATAGTTTATAAAATACGATAAGAAACTCAGTGCAGCAGAAAATCTCAAATTTATTTCATAAAATTGATTTACAAGTACTTTTACCTGATTGATGGAAGATGTCGGACTCCTTGATAGTTCTTTAATTGCTGGCAATATATCGCAATTGCAGTTTAGAGGGTTTGACGAAATATCGACCGTTGTCAGACTGGGAAGAACTTCCCACAGATGAATGGATAATGTTGATATTTCGTTTCCTGAGAGATCTAACACGACAAGGTTTTGTAAGCAATCTGATTTAAAGTTGAATTTTTTCATCTTATTATCGGATAGATGTAATCGAATCAGGCCATTCAACTGAAATGAGATATTACTTATCTTTTTAATGAAAGAGTATTGCTACAATCAACTAATTTCAATATCTTATATTATACATGAGCATATCGACTATTTATTTTCATCAAAATTTACATCCTAATTTAGCACTGTTATGAATTACTAATTTAGAAAAGCAAACCAATTTTTATCAAAAAAACCGTAATTACTGAAATTATAATTTTAACTTGTATATTTTACTTTATCATTAAAATTACCTTGCAGAATGTGTCAGGTAATATTTCCGTGAGAGCATTGTCACGTACAATTAGTTCCTGTAAATCGTTAAATTCATTTACGGAATCAGCAAATGTATTTGCCAGCAAGCGTGGTCGTTCAGTAACTAATATCGATGACGAGAAAAAATTCGATATATCCAGCACTCGCAAACGTACATTCCATCTGAAAATTTTCGAGCAAAAAATGAGATTTTAAAGTTATAAATAAATATGAAATGTATAAATAAATACATGAAAAAATTTTTTGGATAATATAATATAAAGTAGACTTAAAAGAGAATAAATGAATGGCCTTAATTTTTACTTTCATAAGCCAAATTACATTGGAAGTATTATCAGACTGTCAAATGTCTGATCGCCCTAAATGTTTATTACGAAATGAAAAGTGAAATTCGTTTCCAATTCCTTATAACTTTGTCATCCTATAAATTAAGTGCATAGAAATTGTAAAACAAACTTAAATTTAATATCGATTAATGGAATGCAAATAAATATTTGAATTAATGAATCAATTTATATGATGGTTTCAAAAGTGGCATAACTCCATTTACCAAATAGTTCAGATGTTTACGTAAGAACTAAGCAGAATAGTTATTAAAATCTCACACTAAGTTTAATAATGATAGTTCAAAGATAGCAGCGCACACTCTTGTAAATCTTTCCTTTCATCTTTTCATTATCAATTTAAATTCCAGCATTTAACACAATAGTGAAGCTAATTTAATTTCATCACATCAAAGAAGTGGAAAATTGAAAGTTAAAGACAAGCAACATTTTTCCTTACGCTATAGACATAATGGGAGGAAGTTGTATTTTATGCATACATCAATGTTTCAATCTTAATGCCCTTTCTCTCTCACTCGCCTAAGTTTATCTAAACTTTTCAAAATTTAATCTATACGATGGATGCAACTCTATATTTCACGGCAAATAAAGAATTGCACTTAAATTATCCATTAAATTCCATTTAAAATAAATGACATTTATTTTTCATAATTAAAATTAATATTTAATTGGAATGGTTAAATCATAAAGGATAAACATAATTTTGAAACTAAAGAAAGAGCTGATAATTGCTGACAAATAAGATAATATTTTCAGTAATTTGTTTAATCTGAGAAAAAAATCAGACAAGCAAATATAAACAATATGGAATTTAGAATAATTATTACAAACTATAAAGAGGAAATTTTGAAATTTCTAAAAATTTTTGAAAATATTTAGAACAAATTTACATCAGATCAGAGTAGAATATATCACAATCAATAAAGCTGAAGAAATTTTTTCTTCATTCAGGAAGAAGAAAAAGGAAAAAAAACGGACCGGAATGGATCAGCACCAATTCGTTCGATTGCATTATTATGTAAATAGAAATACTCAACCGCTGGCAAACCACGAAAAGTATATGAATCGATGGCATTAATAGCATTATTAGATAAATTAACTAAGGAAACATGGCGATGAGTAACATTAACACCGAAAATATTCCATCCAGCTAGATCTCCAATACTATTACCAGTAACAATGATTGTATCCAAGTCTGGATATGCTTCCGGACGTATATTCAGGAATATTTCACTACCTTGGATTTTTGTACGATGACATTCCACTGTAGTCTTATTACAGTGACACAATCGTGGACAGTTCGCGTCAAATTGACTTCGTTGAGCGCTTACAATCAAAAATAACAGAAATACGCAACCCTTTAAGATAAGCATTGTATATATCAACTTCTCGTAACCTTTGAACTTATAGGAAAGAAGTGAGTCGAATTGACGCCAATTTGATTACATTTAAGGTCGCTTGACTTGTACTGCTTGATGGGTCAGATTAGATTTGTTATGATTGAAGTATTGAAAGAGAAGAGAAGGAAAGATATAGGAATGGAGTTGAACCCTCCTGCCTATGCTATTTCCCCTTCCACCCACTCAAAATTCGGATCACATCATTTCCCATTCTTCTGTTCTACTCTATTCTATTCCTACAACATCTGGCATGCTATTCTCGATGCTCGCACTTGCAGCTCGAATTCTCCACTATGACTCATCTTGTTCTATTTGATATTTATAAAGTAATCAGTTCACCTTATAATCTCTTTCTCTTCCTCTCTTAGAATGATCTGAAGAGAAAACGAAGAGTCCATCTGTTGCAACAATCACCGATTGGGAAGTGAACAATGACAGTGACATTGACTTTAAAGGATTTTTCATTTCAGTGAGGAAAATTTCCTTTTCTTTTCTTTTACACTTTCTGTTGTTTATTTAAAAATTTCACCGAAATTCACTTCCACAACATTCACTACTTCCACCCTATTGTACCTTCATGGCTAATTTATTGTTATAATTAATAAGTGGTAGGTACATTCACTTCCATTCTTCCGAGCATTCAATGTCCTCCACATTTCATATTATCGTTCAACTATTTTCACAGATGATAAACCAACCACAAGAGACATTCTCCTGCTTTCATCTGTCAGAGAGCATCATAACTATCTGTATTTTACATGATAAATCAATTTTTAAAATAAGCAAAAAATAAAGGAATCCTTGCTAATTTCTCATATGTGAAGATAATATTAGCTTAGATGAGGAAATAACATGGAAATTTTATGAAATTTTCATTAATGCAAATTAGTTCATTATTAGTGAAGAAAATTTGCTTGAAAAATCATTTTATCAAACAAATCATATCAAGTAAGTAAGTAACATATATAATAACTCATCAATCAATGTCTTCAAATAATATAACAAACGCAGGCTGAAAGAAAATGTGACTGAAAAATCATTAGAAAATAAATGTCTCATTAAGATTTAAATATGCTTAAATGAAAAACAATAATTACAACTTACCTTAAAATAATAACTGTTAAATTTTCTCTTATTGGTAATATAAAATTGGCAATTCTTTCTCTATTCTATTCATAACAGAAACTTTTTATTATAAAATGTCTTTTTAGTTTCTCAAAAAGTTCATAAAATCAAATGAGCAATTGAACATTATCATATCATATCATATCATATCACTTTATAACATTATTGGTGAAACTTTCTTGAATTGGGAAAAAAACATATGGATTAGTAATGTTAGAGTCATGGATAGATCTCGACTTAATAATGCTTAATTTCGAACACGTTTTCTCGATAGGTGTTAAACCAGCATTTACTGAATGATTCTTTTTCTGCTTCTGATTCTCTTGTTGCTGCTGTTGCTGTTGTTGCTGATTGTTCTGAATAAAATATAATTACATGAAATTTCAGACATTATTAAAACATTTTTCAACTTCAACAGAGAGAACACCCTTTAGCTTATATTTTAAAATTATTTTTCTTCAAAATGTCAATAGAAGTAATTTTTTTACAGGTGTAAAATAAAAGTTTTGATTTAACAATTTATATTTTATTATGTTTATTCTAACGAATTATATTCTAACATTTCCTATTCGTACCACTCAAAAGGAATGAATAAATAACAGATTTGGATATAATTATCTTCTATTCGTAAGATAAAATGATTGTCTCAATAAAAGCACAGTTATTATCACAAACAAAAACGCAATCCTTTTAAGTGACAAAAGCGCATTTAAAGAACAACAAAGAAATTCTTTTCTGAATCATATCACCGTTCCACAAATACATAGCGCTGATAAAGATGCATCACATCTTTTTCTCCTAACCCTTATTTCATTTAAAATGAACATACCTTGCATTTTTTATTATTCCGTATAAAATAATATGTTGTCATGCCACGCCGCCCTGAAATAAAAGATATAAAAATGATAAAATGTATAAGCTCTTCTTATTGATAACTTTCTAAACCTTTGTTTTTAGAAAATATACTTTAAAAATGTTTTTTAAAATATTATATTATTATACTAGCAATTTTGAAAACTCATTTGCATTAACTGACATAATTTGTAATGAAAATAGAGTAAATGTGCGCACAGAACTGCGGCAATTGAGTATGGGACACTAGCGCCAATGCATAGACCTCGCCATAACATTAATTTTATTGGCAACTTATCTAAAATACAATTTATTTATTCTTCTTTTACTTTTTTCTTTTTAAAATATTAAATATCAAAAATATTTTCGTTCTCACTTTTTCATTTTCTTCTTATACTTTTCTCTTTCTTTTAAATCTGTATGTTACTTAATCTGCCAGACAGAACATTCGCATTTCATTTAAAATGTTAGTAAATTCTTGAAGAAACTGAAATATTTTACCTGAATCTGGAAGTAATCTGAAATTGATAAATGATATCACTGCAAGTACAATCAAACAAATCGATATGAGAACTGATATAAAGCATACCGATAATACTAATAATAAAAATAATCTAAAATTAATAATAATAATGCTTGCAGAAACACTTCATATCAAAAAGATTCCATTTTCATTTTTTAACTTTCTACCGTATCTTTCTCTCTCTTCATTATTTGTATGTCAGTTAATCTGCAAAACATATTACTTTCTAAAAATAATATTAATAATAAAAATAAATCCTCTTAATCTATCAGATTCCTATCAGATTAAGATTGTAAACGAATTTGAAATTTCAAATTTAATATTTTGTCAGATTTTTTTTTTGCTAATTCAAAAAGGTTTCCCATAAATAGAAAGATATTATAGAATGAACTGAAGACTGTCAACAAAAATCATCACACATTTCCTCTTTTTCTTTCTTTTGTTCTCTTCAATAAATAAATAAATCTTATGAATTTATTAAATTTTTTTTTTGAAGGAACTAACCTATAATTTGCTGAACCAATGCAATTATTAAGCCATTTGCAGTGATGATCGAACCCGGAAATGCATTTGTTACATTGGCGACAATGTTTACAATTTGGATCGCTGCAAATGAATTACCAATTAATTCATTCTGAATCACAATTTAATGAGCAAATAAATAAACTTCTTAATTCTATTTACATAAATGCAATTTATAGAATGGATTTCAAGCATAAAATTCATTTGTACAAATGCATACATTGTTGCACTTTATTAACGCAACATTTATAGCACGTTATAACATATAAATTAATAAGTAGCGTGCAAATAAAAGAAATATTTTAACAATCATACCGTTCTTCATCTATAATATTAGTGCCTTTAAAAATATAAAATATATTTAAAAGTTTGCTAACTCACTCCATAATTTATTTCCTTGACAAAAAATTTAAAAAACAAAAACTATATTTTAATTGATGAAGGAATAAAAAGTTGCTAACACATTAATTAGACAAATATTGCAGAAGAGATTTTCAATAACATGCTCATGCTTAGTTGCATCGAAATATGCTGGTGCTTGGCCTTTCCTCAAATTGCTTACTGCTGGGTCAATACACGTCAATACGATAATTTGCAGTATAAGCCATATTGCCGCAGTGAATACGGTAAGAGGTGCATATAATATGTGCAAAGGTATGAGCAAAAATGCTGTACTTGAAGCTAATACGGGTATTATTATCCAAAAAAGCAGCTGGAAAAATGATGGAGGCCAAGACCAGCCATTATGACGTCGCTGTAATTGCATATCTTGTCTATGGAACCATCTCCAAATTACTGGAAAATTGGCACTAGAAAACGGTAAACAATTCTTCATAGTTATTACTCGGATACCACAATTCTATGGTATAACCGAAATTGTTGTAATTTGTCAAATTTCTTCCAAAATATCGGCGGCCTAGGATGAATACACGTGATTGAATTGAAGATTAACCAAATTTCATCTTCTACGGAGACAATTCTGGAATTCAAAAGATTTATTTGTTGTAGAATTTGATGCTTCTTTAAAATGAAACATTATGCATCTTCTCTTCATTCTACTTTTTTCAATTGTTTACTAATTCAGAACAGTACTAATTAGAAGACAAAAGTCGATAGCAAGATTTATAAGAAAAATAATGCCAAAAATTTTGCTAAATATTACAGCGATAACAAAAAAAGAGATAACAAAGGGAATCAAAGGCAAAAGGTAGCGTGCCAAATGCCAAAGGCATTAGTTAGTGATGTCCACTAATCTCTAAGCCTCTTTTCTAACTTGTGTGAGGGAAGTCCTGTGTTGTCATGGTAATCAGGAAAAAGATCTTCCCTGTAAAATTATATCCAACTTAAATAACTGATAGCCTCTATCACCTCACAACATAATACGTCATCAATAATTGTCAAAACAAATTCATATTCTCCTAATAATACTTCTTATCATAATTATCTATTCGTATTATCTTAATTATTTGCTGCCAGTTCTTTATCTTTCTCATTTCAATTAATTGAAAAGAAAAAAGATAAAATTTAGGTGCTATGCAAAAAATTTGTGTTATGTAAAGCGATGAAATTTGATGAAATAAAATGTAAAAAGCAAAAAGGTTCATCGCAGTATGTAATTTATTTGAATAATTTCGATTTTTGATGAAAACATTTTAGCAGAATCGACCAGATCTTTTTTTGCATTACATTATCCATTCATTATTGTAATATGCAGCATGCGTTATAAACAATACAACGATCGCATGATAGCTTATCATCTAATATTGTTCTTCAAGATTAATGATAGTCCAGACAACACTTGGAATTGTTATATATTCTACTCTCGTTGCTAGAAGTGCACATCAGATCGCATTAATTTCTTCCTCTTTTAAATATATCCCATTTAGAAGAGCAAAAATCACTTTTTCAGAATTTATAACGTGAACCGTCTTCCATCCATTTTATTTTATGATTAAGCATTCCCATTGTAAATGACTTACAGAAACCCATTTACGGGTCCTTAATTTATTTTTTTAGCAAGCAGTATGAAATTTTCCATTGATTGCCACACTTCAATTATTACATTTCTAACCGAACATCCTCAAATACATGCGCGATCTCCAAAGAGCAAAATTTTCATGCTCCCAATTTTCTGGAACATCATTACGATATCTATGAAATAATTCCAGTGAACTGTTTCGTCTGAAATCCTTTCAATCTTGAAATTACGTGCACATTACTTTTAATTCAAATGAACTTTTAGCTGTCTTATGATCAATAAGATCACCGCTTTCTTGAAAGTAATAAAACAAAAAAATTTATAATGCTTATGTATATAATAAATGGACATTTATTCATAATTTATGATTACAGTTGCTGCAACCGAAATAAATACAATCGAACACTCATGGACAATTGCACCGCAAATTACAATTTTCTACAAAGATTTGAAAAAGTTGAAAAATCTTAGCCGGAACGAGACAAGTCCTTAAGATCTCATCATCACTATCATTGATAAAAATAAAGTAGTTCAAGCGCGAAGACACATTTCTGCGAAAAAGCCACTTTACACCAAAAGACATATGGCTACTCAAAAAATGTCATCGTGAAAAAAAAAAACTTAATACGAAGTTGAGTGAAAATTAACATCAAAAATTTTGCATATTTACCGCGAGTGAATTTGAAAAAAATGTGCTTATGGTTGCGAAGAGTTGGAGCCATTTTTTCTAATCGAACCATTTGAAAATACATAAAAACCATTCTAATTAACGAGGAAAACTATAGCAATGAAATTGAAAGGTTCAGCAAGAATATTTCAGGAAAAATGGCAAATATGTTAATTTTTCAAGCAAATTTCAAGCAAATCCCTTTTTGTTATCAACTTATCACAGAGATACAACACAAAGTTTCGCCATGAAAAAACTTTCCAAAATTGAACAAAACTTCTCTGCAATGTGAAAAGTTAACCAGTGGTCGGCCTATATATTTTGCCATCTTAAAAAAAATAAGTTAAATGTCGAATGGTGGTTGTGCAAATATGAAACTCAGTCTAAATAATTCGGCAATTAACAGAAAAGAGAAAAATTTCCAAATATTCAGTGGTGTGCTAGGCGAACATATAGCGCCAAAATGTAATGCCGCAGCGGCTCATATAACATGTGCCTCACTGAATCCAAGGCCGGTATAGAGTCTAACCATGGTGAATCGTGCTAAAAAACGGACTTCACTAGAAGATTGAAACAAAGTTTAGAGAAAGAAGAAAATTTTTTCGATCAAATTTAGTTTTTCGGAATAAATCTAATCGCTAGTAAAAGGAGCTAAAAAATGTCCGGAATTGGACAAGCAGGTTGATTAAATAAATTGTGAGCTACTTCAGCAGGAAATTACTGTTCAGCTATGTCTCCTATGTGATCGACCTTGTAATTATAACACTCTCAGCACTACCAAATACTAAAAGTTAGGACAGTATGCAGTAAAATAGCAACATACCTCAAACAGAGAAATAGCCACGGCAGTTATTAGAAGCCAAAACAACAGTAATGAAAAGAATATTTTGGCAGCAGATGAAGTAATAGAAGTGGTAGGACGCCTTGAGACAGCTCTCAGTTTCTCCTTATTTGTTAAAACTTGAGAGCTGATGGCAAGAACATTATGATCACGTGCTAGTTTTTCGGGACTTTTACATTTATTAATGCCACACCCAACATCATCTATTTTCGTAGTCGTTTTCGTTGTGAAGGTAGTACAGGGATCTGGACTACGATTACCAGTAATCGTGTTGGTGTATAATGGCTTCATAGCATCCAACATTTGTTCAAAAGAGTTTTCATCTGGCGACTGCACTCCAAAACCAGAGGTTTCAAACTGCAAATTACTACAATTAGACAATGGTTTTAATCATCAACAAATTGAAAGCTGCTCAAGCATTTATGTGTTTGAGGATAATTTGTCAATTTTTCCAACAAATACGTATTATATCACAACAATAACTGGAAGCATAAAGAATCCACTCAAAATACTTCCAGCGCCTTTTATCGCAAACTAAAAATTTGCGAATATTTTTTCGAAACCGCCTTGCCGAGAAAGTAAGGTAATTAAAAGTAATTAGAAAAGGTAATTAATTAATTGTTTTAAACAATCAACAGTTTTAATTCGACAATAACATTCCACACCCCCGGCACAATAAGAATTTGTAACGAATTATATTGAACTTACGGTTATACGTAACTTAGGAAAAAAATGAACTGAAAATAACGATAAATCATGCATTAATAATTTGCCTATCACTTTTTTTCAAAAACTTTGCCCAATTACTTTTGTAGAATGCATGAAGAAAAGATAATAACTCTTAGACTAAAATCAAAGATTAAGACAAATTTTCAAAGATTAAGACAAGATAAACCTAAAAATTTCAATGCCATGAACATTTCCTTCAGAAATTTTTGATATTCTCCTTGATTTTACCTCATAACGATCAAAAAAGACCTCCTCCTATAATAAGCATTCACCATGCACATTCGCGTGAGCATGACTACAACTTATAATCGAAAACGATTAATTCAATACACAACACAAACACGAATTAGGCAACTTGGTAATTAATGACAAAGCAGTCTAGTAAAAGAAGCATTATCTAGGCCGCATAAGACAGATATCACATGAGCATTGACTTTATCATACCGTATGTGTAGATAATGGTTCTTTCCGCACAAGATGTATAGTAAATACTGTCTGAAATGGAACAACCAAAATTGAAGTTTATAAGAGAAGTTTTCGAAATGAAATTTTTTATAACCCAGATTCCTGAATATTTAATTAATTACTTATTATTTTCATCTACGTCCGTACACCGATTAATCAAACCATTGCAATCTTTTTATTACAAATAGAGGGTAGTAATGATTTTTTTCTAACATAATTTCGCTCCTATTACATCAGGGAAACTCTACAGTGCTTTAGTTTTTAAAAAAAATGCTGAAATTGATGGTGCACCTTTAATTTATCATAAAACTTCATAACTTTAAATTCTCTGCATCCAATCAGCAATATTTAAGAAGCCTTTCTTTTCTCATTAATTCTCACATTAAAAAAAATCATACGAAAAAAAAGAATTCAAAAATCATACGAAAAAAAGAACTGAACTCAAGGCACATAGAATTGTTTTCTGAAGCTCTTAAGAGAAACATAAAATGTTAGTTCTAAAGTAAGCAAAAAATCCGAAAAATTCAAAGAAAATTTCAAGGTAACAAATAGATAAATGGTGAAAGCACGGCAATTATGTGAATATACAACTGACTGGAATAAAGGTGAATAACAATCTACTACAGATTAGTAGCACTTTTGATCAGAACTTAGCTTACCGTGTTTTCGGAACCAGATGAAGCGACAGCGGCTGATGTTTCCGTTGCTGGTAATAAATCCACTTCACTTATCACAGCGCTGTTTGACAGCAATCTTATTGCCTTTTCTTCCTCCACATTTTCCGGTATCACTGGAAACTCTAGATAAAAAATTACTTTGTATTTTTATATTTCTGCAAAAATCATGCGTAACTGATAAGGATTGGAAGGAACAGAAAGGATGGAACCATTTGTTTGTAATCGTCGTCCGATTTAAAAAAACGTCACAATAACGCTTCTAATCTCAAAATCCCTATAATTACTATCAAAGCAACTGTTGTATAAACCCCAGCACGAGTAATGCATTGTTTGTAACAGTCTCATCTGATGGTTTTCGATCTCAGTCATGGAATAATATGGTCTCAGTCATGGAATACAATTTACCTTCAGAGACTTTCCCACCACGGCGAACAACTGGAAATGAGTTATACTTATTATCAGTATTGCAAACATGTTGTCGCGATGATTGGCGAGGCAGCGGATATCTGGTAAACCTTGGTTGAGGTCCATTGCGTTTGCCAGGCCCTTCTACTTCAATTTCGTGAAGGACTCTTGACGTTGGAAAACGAAACGTTGAACCACGGGTTAACAAGGGTATACGCGGTCTATAAGCAGCATTTCAATTTATTTATCTATCACTTTCTTAAGTAACTGCTAAATATCCAATAAAGAAATGCTTGGCTCACACCATCTCAAAAACTTTAGAAATTTTCAAAGCTAACTTTGAAAACTTTGGTTTAATATGCTTGGCGTCATTTTCAGTAAAAAAAGCTTGCTGTGACAAAATATGACGCCAAAGATGTTTCGCAAAGACTGCTGACGGACAATGGAATTTCAATACACTTGTCGTTTTGTGGGGTTTGATAAATCCCTGGAAATAAAAAACGATTTATAATAAAGCAAAAAATCTCAATAAAAAGTAAGAAAATCCAAAATTTAAATATTAAATCTACACAGTGTAGACTCATTTCACAAAATTATAAACTGCCTTCGATTAAAGACAGAACAAAGATTCCAAACTAACGCCGTACATTTCTTATACTAGAAGTGGATTTGAACGCGTTTGTTGTTTGCTGAAATAAAAATTTGAGCAACATACTTCAGCTTTAGTAAAATTTAGCGGAATTATATTCATCTTTATCTCTACTCATTCTTTTTAAAGATTTTTTTTTCGAATACTTACCTCTTACCTCTTGGAAACTGAAATAATTTATTGAAATAAGCCTTTATCTGTTTAGGAAAATTTTTACAAACGTACGTACTTCAATATCTTCATAAGACGATGAATAAGGCGATATGTAAGATGACATTGGTGTTATCATGATTTCTTTCCCAACATAATCTACTTTATCTAGTTCATTCCTAGAAATAGAGACGCATAATTATCCACAAGCTTTTTTATTATTAGACTCACGAAGCTAGATAAAACACATAAAAAACTCAAATCTTACAGATGTGAAGTGGCACTTCCATCTTATTACATGGCAGAAATTGCAAATGTGTCACTTTTTGATTTCCACTCAATCAAACAGTTTTAGTCAGGCCTTTCTAAAAACATGAATAAAACACTACACTAAAATAAAATTATATCCCATTTTAATAATCAAATTATTTTAAAGAAATATCAAATGCAAATTAGAAGTCATATATTTCCTATAATCGCGTGATTCGTTTTTTCACAAAGATGCGATCATAATAAGCAGTATAATGGTCAGAAGCCAGTTTGTTGTCAAGATAAAACAAACCATGTAATGTGATGGGTCATTCGACTGATGTGGTAAATATAGATACCGCGATATGTAACTCCAATGTACATTGTCTGTTTTTGCCTATTCTTAAAACAGTCTATGTTTCAACGGAAAACAACCACTGATGTAAAAATTAGAAGCAAAATTAAAGAATTCAGAAACCAAAACATAGATCAAACAAAAAAGAATATTTCCGTTGAAACATTTACCATAACAGTGTATGGATCAAATCCATAAGTGTCTAGTTTTGATGCTCGTTTCAAAAATTCCATTTCCGCTTCTGCTGGAGTGAATCCTCTGCATAAGGAAATTGATCAAAAATTCAATACAGAAAAAAATTTGCAATAAAATGTGATTCGCTATGCAATACTCAATTGAATAAATTAGTCCCCCATCTTGATTCAAAAAAAGCTGAAACTGTCAAGAGAAAGATAGAACTATCCAAATTGCACTCCATAACAAAAAACCAACTTGAACAATTTATGAGAATCAGCGATCTTTTCTTCAAGTTTTTCGGTTTGTTTTAAAAGTAACTTGTATTCAGCAACGTAGTTTTTTGGTCTCTCTTCTGCATCGTAATCACCGATTAGGGCTAAAATTTACAAAAATTAAGACTGATAAAAAAGGAAAAATAGAGATCCATCTAAATTGATAAATAAATGATGCCTAAAACCGTACATCCCATTAAAAAAGCAAGTTGAATTTTAATTAAAGAAACAAACAAACGAACATTGCAGAATCAGCGCACCCAGTATAGCTGCTTCATTCTGAGGACAATACAAACGTCCATGGAGAAGGTCTCTTTGCAATTGCACAAACAACATATATCTTTAAAGAAAGTATTATTATAAAATGATTATTGTTATAAAATGCATAGAAAATTAATTTAAATTCATTTTCACCAGTTCTTCAAATACTGTCAATATGAGGAATAGAGAAACATTAAATGCATATCTAAAATTGAAGCAAGAGGGTTCGAGGAAATGAAGCAACACTTGTTTAATTATTATTTGAAAAGGTGAACAAATCAAATGGAAGGAATTTGAGAAATGTTTTTTGACAAAACCATGCAATATTGTGAATAAGATAGATAAAGAAATTTGTTCATATTTTTTTCATATATTTTTATTTTTTTTTAATTTGTTCATATTTTTATTTTTTTTTAATGGAACCATAACAAATAGCCCAAATAACCTTTGGGCTATTTGTTATGGTTCCAAAATATGACTAGTTTTATAGAAATTTTATAGAATGGTATATAACTCTGCGAAAAATCAAAAATAACTCTCACTGTAAATGTATACAATAAAAGGATAATTTAGTAAATTACCGAGTTATCTCTTCCTTTAACACACTCACATCAGATGGATAGAATCTCACGCGAAATCGCAAAGATACATTAGGACCTTGAAAGTTTTTACATTAGGTTTTATAGAAATTTCAAATGCATTCCGCTCCATCATGATTCATTTTCATTGCCCTATTCATTACCTTCTCTTTAGTAATGCACAAATGTACGAGTCAAAATGGACAAAACTGGTTACCTCGTACTTGTTTATATATTTGTTTGTTGAGATCCATCCAGTACTGAAATTAATCACCATACTGTTTAATAAAAAAAAAATCCATGAAGCATTAACTGAAATAGAAGTAAAGGATTCAAAAATTAGAATTTGAAATTTCACTTCCCTAGAACAGAGGATTTGTCGAAAAAAAATAAATGCTTTAGGATTTTAGCCAGTATGTAGATACGCATATACATGACTGGAATTTCATGAGCAGTAATTATTTTACAACATGCTGGCCAACAACTGTTAAGAAAAAAACTGATCTAACATAAGTTGACATACCCTGTGTCTATTAAAGTCTTGATATCGCAGCCCAAAGTAATCCTTTTCGATAATATTCAAACATTCGCATACATAGTCTAATATAAACTGGGCGTTCGATGTCTTCTGAAATTAAACACTTTATTTTTTCTTAGTTATAATTTAATGGATTATTACATTGACAATTTAAGCAGACTGATAATCTCAGTTTATTATCTAACTCGAACTGCTGAATTCCTGAGTTTCCATTAAAACACAAATCATGGATTAAAAACCGGTGACGCACTATGATGATTCGCATACTTTTTTTTGTTTAGAACAGTTTGTTCTACAAGACATCACCTGATTTTATTTAGAAACAAGCTAGTTTCCTTCTTATAACGCTTGAGACCAATACGAAGTAAGTTTTCTATTTTGTAACTGCCTAAAAAGCTGACAATATGGAAATCTACTGGTGGGGTTTGTTCCATGCTGACAAATCTAATAACTACATGGCTACTTGAAAGCCTTACATCTCTGCAGCTATATCAGGCCACACATGTAACGCCTATGGTTGAAACTTATTAATAGGACGGAGATAATATTGTACCGAAAGAATGAATTTTTAAAGTACCACAACGTCAAAACATATTTATTGTTAAATTTTGATTAAGTAAAAATACTACTACCAAAATATTACTTAAAAAAAAGAGGTAACAAACTTTAAATTCTTGACAAATCGTTTCGTTATCATCCAATAGTTGCACTGTAGTTTTGTAATCTCTGGTTGAGATAAGACTGGTATGAACACTGATACGTCCTATAAATGATGTTGGTATCACAGCAGCTTCATTCGCCGGCATCTTTTTCGCCGTGTAGCTTTTGTTCGCTTTCCAATGCTTCTTTTCACATCCAGTACAACAGGCAACCTCTAGCAACCTTGATAACATTGTTATACGTTATTGTAACGGTTGAAATGTACCGAGTGATAAATAGATATCACTTATTGAATTACAGGAAAAAAGTACAATCATGTCATAGCTGTTAAGAATTTAACAGTTTTTGTACTTCGTACATAAGAGAAATAAAATGAACTATGATTAATTTCGGAAGACGAAATGATTCGACAAGTCGGCGGGTACAACAGTTATATAACACTAACAACAACACTACTAAAAGCGTCATTAGCAGGGTTACTGAATCTGATTTTAAAATAAAAACAAGAATAATACGAAAATACTGAGCAGTAAAGAGGACAAAATACGAAAAAAGAGAAATAATTATTTGCTACTGAAAGTGTGTATGAAGGAAAAAGGAAGCAAAGTGTGAAAGAAAAATTTTTATATAATTTCCATAAAAAATTTAAATGCCTGAGGATATAAACTAGCAAAATTACCAAATGAATAACAGTAACATTAAACCAGAAATCCTATAAAGAATGATTATATGTTATCAACCTTGCCATTATTATCATTGTTATAATCACATACATACTAATTTTAGGAAATGAACTTGTACTTTAATTAAATCAAAGCATCTCGTAATGAACATATCACGATAAACAATTTTTCGTAATATGATTTGTAAAATTCTGAGCAATTATTGCAAAGCAATATTACACATTGCAAAAATAGCATCGCTATCAGCAACCACCAGAACCACACTCTTAATGTAGAACAAATGAAACAAAGAAAACAAATATACGTTATACCACTTTTTTTGACTAACAATATTTCGTAATAGAGAAATTAAAATAATAATTAACATTACAAATAACATACAACAAATGAAGTTAACAATTAGTCATCAAGAAAACATTAGTTTGAACAGCACGTAACATTGAGAGTTGGCAAAGGGCAATTATTGAGAAGGGAAAAAAGTAAAAAAGAAATCAATTCATTCCGCACCAAAATACTATAGCACTATCAACCACTACGAGCTCTATCAGTTCCCGTTCGAATAGGCATCCATTCTTTCAGTCATTCTCACTGCCTTACAACTCACAAGAGGCCATTTCAATGAATGAAGGATGTGTACAAACATATACATCCATGCCTTCATTCATTTCTCCTCTCCAAGTGCAAAACTTCTAACATTCTTTCAGACAGCCTGTCCAATCCTGTCGGATGCCTTTATCGACTTAATATTAACACCTCATCATTCTAATCTGTTTTTACTACTACTAATACTCATTTATGCCTTAATAATTTTGAAAAAAAACAGATCTCGAAACGATTGTTTACACTTCAAAAGAAATTAGTTTTTGATAAACTTGATGAGCCAAAAATGTACAGTATAGTTGTAGCGCACTGTTAGCATTAAGTGATAAATAAAAGATAAAAATTGAAGCAACTTTGGCTTTTTTTACCGTTGAAGATCAGATACAAATTAAAAACTTCTGGACTGCGCAAAAACTGCAGTTTTTATTATCATGTTATTACTGTCATTAATATTAACATAGTTAATATCGCTGATGTCATCAATATTTGAAAAACGTATTTTATTAGTATCTTTCAACACATTTTATTCATATTATTGTTGTTATTATAGATGAATTAAAGGACGAAATAGTGAAATTTACTTATATGCTGAATTTTTTTTAAAAATGTTGGAAATAAAGAGATTAAAGCGATATCAACGATGTTGATTATTTAATATTCGACATTATTTCGTCAATCTTTTTTCTGAAGGTTTTCGAATATAAGAAAATGCTATTAATTTTGTTACTTTTGTTCAGCAGATTAAATCGTCAAACCTATCGTCATCATAAAGTGAGCAACTTTATCCCAGCTTAACTAACAGAAGTTTCTGACTCAGTTTGTTATATGAATCACGAGTGTAGTATATTGGGATTAAATGAACATACTTTGTACTATAAAATAAATTAGGATTTTACCATTATATTATTTTTTTCTCGACTACTGAATTATTGCTAGTTTAATGATAAGCCCAACATGCAACACCTTCATCCCTCTAGAAAATCCAAATGCTAAATAGATCAAATCAACACAAACAACACTAGGAATGTTTTCTCGTATTTCCAATCCAAATTATGAACTGTCCAATTATATAGGCAAAAACTTCCTACAGTGAACATTGATAAAATCTTTGATGGACTACTGCATAAGCTATATTTTTGAAAAATCTAAAAAGCAAAATATGTTTTAATCACTGCTGTAAAATTGGCAAAATTTAGAACTTTAAGACAGCTTTTGTGAGCTGATGTAGAAATATAAATTAGAAGGAAAGGCATATAATTACAATTACTTTTCAAGAATATAATTCGCTAAAGCGGCTCAAAATTTGCACGCTACACTACATATTTATAACAAATTTCAGACGATAATATATTAGCCAAGTTCTTACTCTTGATATTAGAACAAATGCCAAACTAAAGGTGTCCCACAACGAATTAGAAATTTTTGTTACATATTGCAAAGTAAAGCACTGTTCAAAGTTTTTATGATTGCAAATATATGAAGATCAAGAGATTAAAGAAATTTTGTTGGTGATTTAGATAACTAAACTAATATTGAAGAATTCGCGTTCGCAAAAACTTCATGTCGTTAAATACATCAATTCCCATCTATTACAGCTTACGATTTTTTAAAGTATTTCATTAAAAGAATTGTGTATAGGAATCCCGTGAATTTTCTTCAGCTCTTCGTTACTCCTCCAAGAAATTCTTTTTAAAAAAATTTCAACGTGAAAATGAGCAAAAATTTATAAGCAAAAAAATGAACTGATAATTTCGTGAATATGTGATAACAGACGCTTTCAACAACTTTACTTTAAATTGAGATTGTGGCAGAAATGAAATAAAATGGAAATGTTGAGTGATGGAAATATGTCATACTGTTCCTCTCTATAACAAAAAAAGCAAAACTCAGAGATCAGATTTGTGAAGCTGCCAAATCTAAATTATTTTTTTTTGATCGTTTTTCAACGTGCAAAAAACTGTACGTCTGAAAACGTTAAGCATTCATTCAACAAATATCATCATTGAGAACTAAAAACGTTTGCTCTCTTCCCATTTTATCTATCGAATACTACCAACACGACTATTCTTAGAAATGGGAATTCGGATCGAAACTACTTTGATAAGAGTTGGGCGGATTGCACCATCTTATCATTTACCAAAAATGAGACGCATTCAACAAATGATAACATTTTGAAGACAATTCAAAGCTGTGATGTGAGGAAAATGCACTTGAAAGTTTCTTATCCACGCATAATATACAAACATTTCTGACATTTAATTGACGTGCACATACATGCGGGCACACGCCACCGTACAGAACAAATAAAACTTTGAAGTGTTTCCGGAATAACATTTGAGATAACAAGGAAAAGGAGAAGGCAGAGATAGAGAGGATATCATGAACATTATAGCAGCACAATATTTCGAACTATATGAGTAAATGGGGATTAGATAAAGTTTAAATAAAGTTTGATTTCAAGGATAGCTTTGAATAGATTAGGTGGGTCATGTTTCGATGAATAATCCAATGAACTGATCAATTGATATATAGCTAAAGCAATTCAAGTTATATTGCAACTTGATAATAAAAAGGGAGCCAAAAACTCGTTCCCAAATGATCAGAAATAAACTATATTCTTAAACTAAATTATTGATATTTCTAGATGACGCAGAACGAGAGAGAGAAACACTAATTGTGCTCTGGGTGGCACAGAGAAAGATACTAACTGTGCTCTGTTACATCTGACCCAGACAAATACTGAAAGAGGACAACGACATACATCCGTAAATAGATGAGAGGATGACATCTGAATTACCCGTTCTTTCACCGTCCCACTTCATTCTATACAATCATTTCATAATTCTTTTGACTTCGCAAGAATTGTGATTGGTTATTGAAGAAAGATGCAAACTTCATCTGATTATTTTTCTAAAAATCAAGAAAAGAAGGAAAAGGAAGAAATGTTTGTCCTTGGAAGAATTATTATGATTTTTTGTTGTATTAAGAAGGAAAGGAGAAAATGGCTTTGTCAAATTGTTATTTTATCGCTATATTCAATGATTATAAGAAAATTACTTCAAATTATCTTACTGTAATTATAACTTACAAAGCAAACATAAACAACGATTTTTTTTCAAAAGTTAAACAATATTTCAAAGGTTAAATGCGGTGAAGTATCGAAATTTTTTTTCAAATAAAGGTCAAAACATTTTCGAGATATTTAATCGCGCAAATTTCCAAAAATAGATGAAATATCCAAAAAAATAGATCGTCCATTAATTTTGAAAAATGAAATATTTCGTAAGAATTGTTTAGTTGAACACTGATCAATATGTGTAGGCTAGCTATATTATCATTAATTATGTGCAACAGTGCATAAATTTTCAATAAACCTTTCATAGTGATATTGACGAATGATGTCTTGCATCTTTTAATTAGTAGGATTGATGAAATTAGTAATACAGAAAGTTTCAATTTTTTGATTCCCACGAAAGATGAAGAAGCAAATTAAAGGCGTACATTTTAATGGCTGTAGTCATTACAATACATGCTATTTATTAGTATTAAATGGGAAATTTTGCTCGCTAATTTTGAACTTTCTCAGTTCAGAGATTTCCTTTTTATCAAAATGTTATAAATGAATTTGTAAGATCGGTAAACAGCAAGGTTTCATATTATTCGTACTCATTATGTTTAATCTCAATTCAATCTCAATGTTTTTGCATTAAATGAAAATTTTAGTCTCGACAGGATTTAATAATATTAAACAAAAGAAAGCTTTAATAAACAAACAGAAGTGGAAGAATGTATGAAAATGAATTATATATCGAGCTGTTGCATCCGCTCGAGCTGTTTGTTCCTCAGCGTTTCATCTAAATTTACGGTAAACAATATGATATAATATCCTACTGTCGTTTTTCTTCCTAAACTTATATCAAATTTAAATCATGTACTGTGACATGTCTAAT